GGGGGGGGCAAATATTCATTCAGTATTCTGTTAGTCAGTTCTAAGTGTTGAATCGGACATCCAATACATAGCGTGAGACAATTTTGATTTTTTTTTAAAACAAAGAAATAATTGCTGTCCCGGAGAATTCCAAAGAGACTGATTTTATAGTGGTCTTTAATATTTCTAGTATAGGTGGTTGTATGAAGAGTGGGGTCGAATTATAAAATATTTATGGAAAGCACTATTCCTAGTGTCACTGGGAATAGACCCAGAAACGATTCCAGTGACACTGAGAACAGGCAGGCCCATTAGATCTATTGTTCCCACACTGATCTACATGGGCATGATGGTGATGGGTTACTAAATACTAGACTATATCTAATATAGATCTAGATTCTAGATTCTAGATCTAACTAAACTGAAGTAGATTCTAGTGTGAGTGGAAAAAAGAATGATCCTTCTATGCTTGCTTGTTATTCAGTCGTAATTCATGTACGTGTAGATCTAGATCTACATACGGATTTTGGAGACCACGGTACAGGACAGGTAGAAATATTTCCCGATTCTTATTTCTTCTAGATCTATTCTACGGTTAAGTCTAAGCTCTAAATAAGAGAAGAGAACAAAAGTACTGAATTTAATTGAGAAGAGAGTCAACAGTGCAAAGACCTGATTTTTTTAATGCAAAAGTGTTCCATCGTCACTGGGAATAGTTTCTGTACCTTTCCCCAATGTCACTGGGAATAGTCACTTCGAATATTTATTGTGTCCGCTTGGTCAGTTCGTCTGACTTGCTGCCATGCCAAAATGCGGAGAAAAAAACTTGGAAGATGGGATTATATCGTTGCTAAAAGGTGGTCAACATAGTAATATAATTAATTCCGATGAACTCCATGAGGTAAATTAAACATAGACTTCATGACGTTTACATAATTTTTCACGCTCATGCACGGCTGTAATATGACAAATCTTTCATTTAACACATCATTGTATTGTACTGAACAACACTGTCAACATGGCCCGCGTTCGGCACTCCCTCGATATCCATTCCACTTTGAAAGATGTTTGGTGACCCCTGGTGTAAACAATAATATACGAATTTGATCGATGACCCACCTCGAATTGGGCAGATCCCACACCGAAGCCTACGTGCTCCTTGGCGAACTGACTGAGCATGGCGCTCATCTTGCCGGCATCAGCAGCGTTGTTCACGAACTCGTTGAGACGAGTGAAGATTCTGGAGGAGACATCACGCAGCTTGGGGGAGGCCTTGATGTCAGCGATACTCTTGCCTTTGAAGTCAGCGAAGAAGTTGGCAGAGTCGGGGAACTTCTCAAAGAGACTGAAATGTTGTAAAAGCACGTCACAATATAATGGGAGTTTGTATTCCTTCTTCAGAACGAAGCAACAAAGGAACAATGCACCTAGAGACATTTCAAGTGTAAGGATCTGTTAGATCATTCTGCATTTTGATTTTATCCTAAAAGTAATTGCTTTCAAGTTTGGTCGTTATTTTCTTGCTTTTTCTGGTTGTTGTTTTTTAACCAGCTGATAAAGGTATATTATTTCATCTGCTGTTCTAATACTAATACTATCAGCCCTCCTATTTAGAACTTTATTTATTCAATCATTTACTTTTTTAATTAATTAATTAATTTCGTCAGCAAGTTAGATTAACAACCCAACTAACGAAAGAGGGAAATCATTCATCCTCTGAAGCAGACATCTACATGTCTGACCCCGTGGTTTTATGCACCCCGCATAATGTAGTAGAATTTGATCATTTTTTGCTTAATTTCTGATTATTTTCCTTTATCATTCTTTGTTATAATTAACAGAATCGCATAATTTCACATTTTTTCGCTCAGTTTGCATAATTTCAGATGTTTTCTTGCCTAAAACGACGGGGACAGACATGTCCAGTTGAACAGAAGACGTCGTAGCCAATTACC